GAGCTGTTGTTCAGCATCTCAGCTGCAGAGGGCAGTGTCACTGGCCCTCATATGTGGGATCCGAACCGGGGCCCTCTGGCATCCCAAGCGAGTTCTTAACCATCGCGCCATTCGGCCGGCCCCCATATCTTCTCCAACTCTTATTTGTCTTATTGATAGTAGTCATTCTGACAGGTGTGAAGTAGCATCTCGTTGTGCTTTTGATTTGCATTTCCCTTACAGCTAGTGATGTTGATCACTTTTCATATATGTTGGTCATCTGTATTTCTTCTTGGAAAAAGTGTCTGTTCAGGTCCTCTGCCCATTTTTTTAATGGAACTGTTTTTTTTAATTGAATTTTTAAAATTGAACTGTTGAGTTATATGAGTTCTTTATATTGTACATTTTGGATATTAGTTCCTTATCGGAGGTATCATTTGCAAATATCTTCTTTCATTCAGTTGGTTGCCTTTTTGTTTTGTCAATGGTTTCTTTTGATGCACAGAAGCTTTTTAGTTTGATATGGTCCCATTCATTTATTTTTGCTTTTACTTCCCTTGCCTTTGGGGTCAAGGTCACAAAAACCCCTCTAAGACCAAGGTCCACTAAGTTTAGGGGCCTATGTTCTCTTCTATGTATTTTATTGTTTTAGGTCTTATATCCAAGTCTTTAATCCATTTTGAGTTAATTTTCGTGTATGGTGTCAGATAGTAGTCTCGTTTCATCCTTTTGCATGTAGCTTTCCAACTTCCTCAACACTATTTGTTGAAGTGGCTTTCCTTTTTTCATTGTTTTCAGCTACTTTGTTGAAAATTAGTTGCCCATATGTGTGGGTTTTTTTCTGGGCTCTCAGTTCTATTCTACTGTTCTGTGTGTCTATTTTCCTGTCAATACCATACTGTTTTTTGGTTTGTTTTTGTTTTTTTAATTTCAATTGGGGAGTTGGGGGATGAGAACAGTGCTGGGGAATTGGGGGAAGGGGAACAGACAAGTTGCTGTCATTTTGTTCTTCAGTCTAGTTGTGGAGGATGTTGCTTCAATGTCCCAAGTTGGCACCATCANCAATGGATG